GGGTTTGAACCACCAGCTTTCTGGTTAGCAGTCAAATGCCTTAGGCACTACACCACCACAGCTCCTTACTAGTTAGCTAGACTAAAAAAAGGAAGAAAGGAGTCTATTTCAAAGTGCCTGGTCATTTAAACTCATCTACCAAACTAGCTGTCAAGTCCCCTGTAGTGAATAGGAGACTAGAGAATTCCAAGGTGAATGTCTACATGCATTTTTTCTTCTACTCTCTTTGGATATTAATAAAAGGAGAAAGAGGTAAAGAGTTGTTATTGTTTGCTGTCAAGTTGATTCTGATTCATAATGACCCTATAGGACAGAGTAGAACAGCTTCATAGGGTTTTCTAAGCTAATCTTTATGGGAAGGAACTCTGGTGGTATACTAGTTAAGGCATTTGGCTATTAACCAGAAGGTTGGTGGTTCCAACCCACCAGCTGCTTCACACACGAAAGATTAGGCAATCTACTTCTGTACAGATTTGCAGCCTTGGAAACCCAGTGGGGGTGGCTACGAACCAGAATTGACTTGATGGCACTGAGTTTGGTTTGATTCATCTTTATAGGAGAAGGTTGCCAGTTTTTTTCTCCCAACTCCCAGTGGGTTTGAACCACTAATCTTTTGGTTATCTGCCAAGTGCTTTAACCATTGTGTCACAACGGCTCCTTTGCTAGAAGGATAACCCATTAGAGGGGGCTGGTGTGACAGGATACTTTTTGCAGATGATGTGGGATTTAATCTGGATGGAGCTGGAAAAGGGGAAGATATGATAGAAAGGAAAAGAAAGGCTCTGACAGGGAATGTGTGTGGTTTATACATGAGTGAATGATAGTTCAGAGACAGTCAGCATCCTGTTTTTAAAATAACTATGTGACTTGAAGTTGAGAGGAAACACCGTACAACATTTGTGGAAAATAAGGGATATGAAGGGAGAAAAACACTTCAGCTAGTTAATATCCTTCTCAGAGTAATAGATCGTTTCTTTAAAAAATAGCATACCACCACTGAATTTTGCACTTGATCATATGTGAATTATATCTTAATAAAGTTATGTTAAAATAATAACACACCATACCAAAAACCAAACTCA